TGGGCGGGGCGCTGGCCCGAGGCCACTCAGCCGCCTGGCTTAGATTCCCCTGGGCGCTGTGTTCTGCCTGCCCAAGGGTGCAGATTTGAACGTGGCACACCTGATCCTAAGGAGAAGGTGCGTCTGGTTGGAGATTCAGAAATGAAGGTTTCGGGCCGGCCCGGTGGCACACTGCTACAGTGCGCCGCTTGGGAGCGCGGTGGCGCTCCCGCCGAGGGTTCGGATCCCACATACAGACCGGTTCCCGCTCACTGGCTGAGCGAGGTGCGGGCGCAACACCAAGGGCTGCAATCCCGTTGCCGGTCCCTGTCCGGTAGGGGCGCGACACTGAGGGTTGCGATCCGTTGCCGGACACGAAAAAAGACAAAAAGAGAGAAAAAAAAAAAAAAAGAAATGAAGGTTTTGAGGAGGTGATGGGCTGGAAAGCCCTCGGTATCTACACTCCTATATCGAGGGGACTGAGCTGGGCAACACCTAATGTTCCTTCTAGGTCGGCGAGACCACCAGGATTCTAGGTTTTAAATCAGCGGTGTGGAGTCTGGTCCTAGTTCACCTGTGAACCTGGACAAGTCACCCTCCTTCTATGGTTCTTTCCAGCTCTAATGTCTCCAAGACGGAAGGGAACTCAGTGTGCAGTGTAGGCGGGCAGCGGTACAGATTCCCATCCATCTGCTCCTGTCAACGCCTTGTGCACAGAAAGTGCTCAGGAAAGCTTTAAGGGCTGGCCGGTTTCTCAGTTGTTTAGAGCTTGGTGTTATCACACCAAGGTCAGGGGTTCCAATCTCCATACTGACCAACCACCATCACCACAAAAAAACCCAAAAAACTGGATTGTTTTGAGAACTCTTGCATGGTTGATTCAGAGAACTGAAACAGTGGGAAGCGCTGGAGTGGACCCATGAGGTTGTGGAAGGCAGGGGCCTGTCCCGAAGGAGTAAGCCTCGAGGGTCATATCTGGCCAGGTGTTAAGTCAGGGAATGGTTAGTCTCAACTTCTAGAAGGATTTGTTTGGCTGCTGGGAGGAAAGTGGGTTGGAGAAGAGTAAGAATGGAGGCAGGGAGGTTTCTCGGCCCCTGGCTTGGAGGAGTCCTCCGTTCTACCTTGGTTCCTCAGTCATCCTCCAGATTTTAGTTTCTCTTGGTCTTTAGGTTCTCTTGTACTAAAGAGAAATTACAACTGGCATTTAGTGTTTGCCATTATACATACGGGAATAAAAGGCTCAAATGAACAGAGGAAGCGTTATCTGTCTTCTAGGGGTCTTACAGATCCACAATTTACAAATGAAAAAAAATTAAATCCGTGAGACAGCCTCTATCCAGACCTCTTATTTTATGGATGAGGTGACTGGCCCAGAGGAAGGGACCTAATGTCCTAGACTACAAATCTAATGACTCTAAGGTGAAGGTTCTTTCTACTGCACCAGGGTTCTGTAAACTGTGGCCAGAGGGATTGATCCTCTGCTTGATTTTGTAAGGCCTAAGTGGTGAGAATAGTTTTCACATTTTTTAAAGATCGTTAAAAAAAAAATTCATAAAAAGCAAGATTAAAAGGGGGAAAAAAAAAACTAGGAAGAATATGTTAAGAGGAGAATGTGGTCCACAAAGCCTAAAATACTATCTGGCCCTTAAAGTCCTGGAGTTCTCTCCACCAGCCAGGAATTAAATCATCACATGTAGGCATTATCTATTTTTCTGCCATAAAAGCAAATGAAATGTTGAGTGATTTGATGTTTATTTCGACACTTGCCTTTTCTCCTAGCTCTTTGGGTCTTTTTTCACCTCTATAAATGACAGTCAATTCATATAGGCTTGGTAAAACAAACAGCTTACTTTTCTATCATATCTGCTGTTTCTGGTAGAGATCTTTCTCCTTCTGGGCAAAGGATTAAAGAGAGTCATTTAGCCACAAGGGTTGAAGAATCAGACAGCTAACGCGCACTTCTTTCCCCTTACTTACTCTTTTCTTCTCTTGGGCCTCTTCCTTGGCTGGGGGCTAAGGACTGTGACTTCCTCAAGTTTGCTTCTATTCCTGAAGCAGTACCCAAGGGAAGTTGTGACTGCAGCACATAGTCACTCACACAAGTACATTTCCTGCAGTCAGTTTCTCCTAACCATTTTAAAAGCTGTAGGCTTGCTGGGCAAGTTCATGCTCTTCACCACTCCCCACTGCCTTTGCTCATGAGGTTTATTTTCTTTTCTTTTTTCTTTTTTTTGATGGCTGGTCGGTAAGGGGATCCAAACCCATAACCTTAGTGTTATAAGGCTGTGCTCTAACCAACTGACATAACAGCCAGCCCTGTTTATGTGGTTTTGATGTCTATAGGTATGTAGTCCTGACAACAAAGCATCATGAAGGCTTCACAAACTGGCCAAGTCCTGTGTCTTGGAACTGGAACTCTCAGGACCTGGGACCCCATCGTGATTTGGTTGGTGAGTTGGGAACAGCTGTCCGGAAGAGGTGTGTATCTATAGACGGTTACTTTGTCTTCTCTTTTGATCTAGCCATCCAGAGTTCCATACCTTCTCTACTCTTGTATGTTTTCTAAGTTTGCATTTAGCAAGTAACCTAAAGGGCTTCTGGCCTTTGAATTAGCAGTGTTTGAGCATAGCAGTTTTCCCGTGACCAAAGGTGACACCATCAGAGAAGTTCTTGGCTATGTCTAGTTAGGTGAAACGTACACAATGTAGACCACAATGCTCCATCTGCAGAAAAGGGTTCCTTCTGGGAAACGTTGCAAGCTTTGGAAGGCCCTTTGCCAGTGTCTGATGGAGGCCAGGGACTAGGTCTCTCATCTTTGTGTCCTCCTTAACCATCAACACAGAACTTTGCAGGCATTCAGAGAAGGTTTGGATGAATGGTAGATCAAGCAGGGGACTGAAAAGGGCAGTTATAACAGCAAAAAGTGAGGGAAAGGGCATGCAATGTATTCTAATTAATGTTCCCTAATATTTGCCACTTAATAGGAAGTAAATTCCCAAGATCAAGGAAGTAGGAAATGGCAAAGGAGGAATTTGAACCCAGATATTCTGGTTTTGGACTCTACTGTCCAGGTATGTTTGCCTGGGAGTAGGAAAAGTAGTATTCATGCCACTTCCAACCTCAGCTCTGCTGTGATTTGAGGGGTAGGTCAGCTGACTACATCCTATTTGAGGGGCAGGTCAGCTAACTACATCCTATTTGAGGGTAGGTCAGCTGACTACGTCCTATTTGAGGGGCAGGTCAGCTGACTACGTCCTATTTGAGGGTAGGTCAGCTGACTTTTTTTTTTTTTTT